TCTCATTATTTGTTAATTTGCCCCACCTGCCCTCCCAAGGGTCAAGGCATTACACAAGAGAGCACATGGTACATAGAAACAAACATAAAAGTAGCCATGTGGTCACACCAAACATGACAATACAAAAACACATGACCAATGAAAGCAACCACAAGCTATGTGCTTAAAAAACATAAACATGTGAAATGGGGACAAAGAACCCCCCATGTGCTTACAACAAAAGTACAAACATAGAGCATGATTTTCCAGATCCTGACACTGAACCAAAACCAAGCCAGACAGGAGTGTCAGGAATCAGACAACATAAAAAATACACTGAAATGCATTGATGAGAGCGTGCACAGCCCGAGGACCACTTGAGACTGCAAAGTCTCAGGGTCCTGCTTAAAGTGTCAGGACACTGACACCTGCATGTTTCCATCAGTGTGGTTTGAGGCCCTGTCCCCATGAACACGGGTATTTTTAAAACCCAGGCTTTTTCTATGCGGTTTGGCTTTTCATCCACATGCTAACGCAGTATCAGGTCACTGAAACTTTTTGAAAACTCCTGCCAGAGTGAAGATTTTCAGATACTCCAGTTGCAGTGTTGTTGTGTAGCCGGGGCTCGGAGCCCTCCTTCAAGACAGCACGCCAAATATGCTTACTATTTGCTAAATCCTATTATATGTAACTCGTGAATTGACAAATGTATATAACTTAAAGTCAGCATGAAGTGGCAGTTTCAGTTGAATTTGCTACTGGGTACTGAGTTGTATTTCAACATGAAACATTTAAAGTGGCCATTGCATTCCAGAATTGAGGCAGAACTGAATGTGATTGACTGCAGCATGGATATGTTACAGATGTCAAGTAAATCATATCACTGGAAGAGCAAGTTATGACATTTTGATTACAAGGTTTTAAAAAAATCATGAAAAAATAAAATGCACAGATGAATCATTCACAGTAAGACCAGTAACATGCATTAAGAAAATAAATGTTCTGAATGGTTGCTGGGGTGTTGGTGGGAGGTTGCTAAAGGCTTTCTGGGCAGTTGCTAATTTTCCAGATTTTACAGATATCATACCCTTGTACATCCTGAGTACTGTCACATTCTACCAGCACTCACCAGATCCTGCTTATTAATCTTTTGTATCTCTGTTTTAACAGAGTGAATAAAAGTGATCCGTATTATGAAGGTAAAAAGCTTCCTGTACAAAATCTGACTCCTGACTTTAATGGCTTGTACATCTGTCATGCTTCAAACCAGTATGGAAGTTCAGTAGGATCTCTCTATGTGAATGTTCATACTGGTGAGTATATATTTGCTTTTATAAGTTTTTTCTTTTTTTTAAATTATGTTTTATTTTTATTAATCTGTCCTGAAATGTTGAATTTTTCAATTGAGGTAGCAGACAGGACAATTAAATTTAAGCATTTAGCAGTAAAAATACAAGTATGCATGCAAAACTTTATCAGATACAATTATTTGTTTAAAAAAAGACATCTATGTGGAGATTCAAAACTGTGATACTATGATGTGTCAATCCATGAATAATCTAGGATAAATACTGTAAATCTGTAACAACCAGTGTCTGTATTAACAGTTATTGTCAGCCATTTCAAATAAAATTTTAGAAGTGTAAACTTGACAACTTTCCTTCTTTCCTAGAATCCAATGCCACCTGTTGGAGTCTGTTCGGTGTTTTCATCAGTGCTTTTCTTGTTGCTGTATTCATATTCGGGTTCATATGGAAACATAAACAGTGAGTTTGAACAATTGATTCTTCACAGTTTGTTAAGAGTTTTTTCACATTTTAATATTGCACCTCAAAGTTAAATAATGTGACCGTGAAAAGCAATGTATTTGACAGTCACAGTCAATCAGAATATATTTTATGTTTAATGTGCAGTTAAGAGGAGTGGGATTTTGGACCAATGAGTTTGGTCAGCACAGACTAACAAGCATTATGCCTGAAGTCAGTTCTACTTCTACTGTTTCAAGTATTTATTTGCTCTGCTGTTTCAGTGTTTCATCTGTGCTAATCAATGCCTGCGATGTTCATGAATGTAGTGTAATGTAATTATTTATTAAGTGCCATTATTGTTTATAAACCCTATATTATCTATGCCTGGGGTGTCCAAACATGTCCCTGGAGGGCCACTGTCCTGAAGAGTTTAGCTCCAGCCTTAATTAAACACAGATGAACTAAAGAAATCAAGAGCTGCCTTCAAAATC